TGCCATGATGCAATATCATAGCCTTTCTTTCTGCCAGGATATTAGGCCCTGAAACTGTAGTCGTTGGAACTCTAGGACCCCAGAGAAATGAGTTGTGTAAGTAAAGTTAGAATTTAGAAAACTTTGTAGAATGTCTATATGTTTTCATTGTGTTTAGGAGAGAAATGCAATTACTCTTTCCCCAAATAATATTATCTTTTAGTCCCATGATTCTCAAGTGCAATCAAGCCTGTAAGATAATCACCTAATCATAAAAAACAATTTGACTTGTTTTTAACCATGATCTACATAAATTATTCAACCAGAAATGCATGACAATTTAAAAAACCAAAAGAATTGCCTCCATATCATCCAGATTTTTTTCTTCCAAATCTACCTCTGCTTATTTGGATTATTGCCAATGAAATATAGCTAATTTTGCTTTAAAAAGATTTACAGGTATTAACGAATTGGTGGTTGCTCTGTGACCTTTAAGATGACAAAAAATAATAAATAAAATAAAATAAAAACTTTTGTAAAGGATTTGAGAACAGTCACTTAAAAACAGAGCACCAATCAAGACCCAATCAGGAAAGCATAGTATGTTATAGACAGAGCTTAATAGTATTGTTACAAAAGGATTGGAGGAGGCTCCCAGGCAGGAGGAAGCCCTGAGGTAATCCAGATATGAACTATGGGAAGCTATTGCCCCCTTTATAGCTGACAAACTAAAGGAAATGCTTGGGGTTACTGGAGTTTAGAAGCACAATGGAGAAATACTACTCAACTAGGGCTTGAACCGCTGAGAAGTGGACCTAGTCAGATTAATGCTGCCACCCTCAAGGGGTCATGATGGTGGTTCTTTGTGTGTAAAAGAAGTGGAAGCTGGAATCGATTGTGAATTGCAGAGCTCAGACTATTACTGCTCAAGTGAGGCTTAAAGGAGCAGGAAGCATACACCTAGGAATGCCTTTTTCCTGCTCCTTACTTTCACCTTCCCCTCCAGTGATTTCTATTGATAGCATCTACCAGGAAGTCAGGTGGCCAAGAAGTCAAGCAGTTTTTGTGACTCCAGACTTTATATTACAAACGCTGAGTGTGGAATGGTGAATACAGAGTAGAAAGATAAGAGCTTAATGAGCAGCACTAAGAGCAGTTAAAAACCAAGATTCTTGGGGCCTGAGTGATAGCACAACAGGTAGGGCACTTGCTCACATACTGAGACCAAGCTGGTTTGATCCCCAGCACCACGTATGGTCCCCTGAGCACCACCAGGAGTGATCCCTGAGTGCAGGCTGGGAAGAAGCCCTGAGCACTGCCAGGTGTGGGTTCATCCCACCCCATAAAAATCAGTATTTTAACCCAAGATTGATTAATCATCTTGAAGCTTAAAACAACTCAGTATGACCACTTGTTCAACACCTTAAAATGAATAGTCATTTAGACCTATTACCATATAACTTAGTTAGCATTTAATCATCTACTCTGGAATATATTTGACGGATACTATTCCAAGAATTTGATTTTGAACAAAGAAAACTAAAGGTCCCACCCTATCCTTGTGGAACTGTTGACGGAAAAACAGACAACACATAAATGCAGAACATGTCAGATGAAGCACAATGGTGAAAACAAGATGAAACAGGAGTTGGGGCTAGAGGGAATTTTTCCAGACTGAGTGGTCATAGACGCTCTCAAGCAGAAAGTGACCCATGACAGCGAAAGCAATATGAATGTATGGGAAAGATATTTTCAGTAACACTTATTCCCATTTAGAGTCTAGTAAAGACTTTGTAAGTGGGTGAGCTTTTATAGGTAAAGCAGAATTTGCATAATTCTCCCTTAGAAGATGACCGTGATTCCAGATAGGTAACAACTAGCTATCAGATATCGTATCAAGTCCAAACATTCCACAAATCATTGCTCATCTGTTCCATGAGGAGACAAAAAGATAAACCTTCACATAGTAGGTTACAAAAATTCTGCTGATTGTAAGAGGAACTAGCTGAAGTACATAATGGTTTACCATTACTATGAAATACGTTGGTTCAAGGATGTTTATGAAGTCCTAATAATCTCAAACCTTTCATTTGGATTGAGTGAATGTAAAAAAAAGAAAACACCTTACATAATTACTTTTTTGTTAATTCGTCAACCTTCGTTTTTAGTTAAGAGTTAATGAAATTTGATAATTGGCCAACAGTCTTGAGGCAGTAAGAGGGATGCACACTATCAGTACACTTAACCCAAAACAACAAAATCACGTTGGCATTAGGATCACGTTACTTTCTGTTCAGGTAGTTTCTTCATGGAAATATAAGCATACTTTAAATCACGTGCCAAGTTAACTCTAATTATTGTTTCTTAAACCATAAAGGTAAACTTATTTGCAATGTTAGAAAACAAAGAAAACATTACAAGTGGTATAAAAATAGGCGCTACTCTCCTGTTGAAGATTTAAAAAGATATATATTCTGGTACTTAAAAAAAAAGTAAGCTGTACTATTCATATTTCTCTGTAACTAGTAGTAATTCTCAACATGAAAGTTTTGGGTGGGATGTCTTCATTTGAAGATAAGGCAGTTTAAGATAGGCTATTAAGAAAGTACCAATATGAAGTTTTTTTTTTTTTTAGTAACTTTTTTCTTAGCTTTAAGAAGAACCTTGAGAGGTCAGTGTTGCCTATTAGAAAGCAAGCACCTGGTTTTTGTAGGGAAACCAGCCCAAGTGCTGCGTAGTATTTGTGCTTAACCTGGGTGCCTAGGTTCCTCCAGTGTCAAGCAGGAGTAAGACTAATCGCTGAAGATGCCGTATCAACACAAATCATTAGAACATAATGCGTGTATGCACATAAAACACCAGCATGGTGCTCATTTAATGCTTATAAAACAGCTATAAAAACTGCACTTTGACTCTCCCTTCACTTTAGGTCAGAAGAGAACATAATCATAGCATGCCATTAATCCAATTTCTCAAAATACGGAGGAAATATATATGTTTTTAAAGCTCCATATCATCCTTTTGAGAAGCACTAAACCTGCTAATCCCTCCAGGTCTCTGTAGCAATTACACGCGCTTCTCTCCAGCTTCTTCCCCCCTCCCCCAGCCTTTGGCACCTTTTCAAGTGTTGGCTAAATTACTTTTTCTGAATGCTGGGAACCATCAGGGAAGGGCGAGGGAATGAAATTGGCGAGCAGTATTAAAATTTGGTTGTTTAACATTTAACTGAGTATCAACAACGTGTTAAAGTGCTATCTAAACAGATAATTAGCTAGTTGCTGCGCAGTGGGCTGTCTAAATTTAGCAGTGAGATTAGGTTTAGGAGAGCGAAAATAGGAAAATAAATGATCTCAGGGGAAACGGCGGTGTCAGCGCAGTTGAGGAATGTCACAATAGCTACAATTCGTCAATTATGATCATCATCAGGGAATCTCCTGAACGAGGCAGGGCAAGGTCTATTCATAACAGCCTCCCGGAATTAGGTGATAGTAAAAGGAGTTAGCTGCAGGAGAGGCGAGGCAGGAAGGGGAGAGAGACAGTCTGGCACAGGCGAACCAGAGGAAGAAGTGGGTGCAGGAAAAGGGGGATCAAAGAGCCCTGGGTTTGACAGGATGGGAGGCGGAAGTTAGGAGAGAAAGACGCGCGCTGGGCTGGGGCAGGAATGAGGTGTAGCCCTGGAAGTGGATGAAATGTGAGGACAGTGGGTGGAGGGTGGGTCGGGAGATCCGAGCCACTGAAAGGGTGGGCAGCTCGACGGAGGCGGCGTGCAAGCTTTAGTTTAGCTCCGACAGGCGGCGAAGTCCTGGCTGGATTTCCTAATCACAGCACACCGGTGGCCCTCTGGGGGTGGCAGGACCCACGGAAAAGTAATGACATGGGTGTCAGGATTGAGGACGGGCGTCCTCCACCTCCGGGCCCTCTCTGGACAGTCCCAGCTGTCCACGCCCCCCTCCCCCGGGTGTACAGCCGAGCTCCGACCACCGGGGCTGTGCTGTGCGTGGTGGGGCTGCAATCCGGGGCGCGGGAGGGTCCCGGTGGAACCGAGCCGCTCCCAAAGAGGGACCCCCTTTCCCGAGGCTGCTTTCCCGCGTTGCGTTCAAAAGCAAAAAAAAAAAAAAACCAAAAAAAAAAAAAACCAGGCACCGAGAATAAAAAAACGACACGTGCGAACATGCAAAGGAAACAACACCAAAACACCAAAACGCACTCGAGGGCGCTCCTCTGGGGGTGGGGACCGGGATGGATGGGTGGGTGGGTGGGCGGCGGGGAAGTCCGTGGCCTCTCCTGTGGCCAGTCGGCCGGCGCGGACAGCGGGCGCAGCGCCGATGAAGCCAGAAAGCGCGAGCGGGGTGGGGAGTGGGGGTGTGGGGAGGGTCTCCCTCTCCTCGCCCGAGCAGCAGTTCCACCGAGCCGGGAGCAGAAAGGACGCCCGTGCAGCCGCGCGGGGCGGGGAGGCGGCGGCGGCCGGGCAGGAGGCAGGGGCTGGGGGGTGGGGTGGGGGGGCGCGCGGCGGGTCCCAGGAAGCAGGAAGCGGCGCCGATGGGCCAGTCGGGCGCTGGCCCGCCCGTCCGGGTCCCCGGCCGGCCGAGAGAGCGCGCCGCCGTCCCGCCGCCCTCCGCCCTCCGCCGGGGTCTGCGCCGGCCGCCGCGGCCCCGCGAGGGGCGGGGTGGGCGAGACCATTGGCAGGCCGGGCGGGGGGGAGAGGGGGCCGGGGCGCGCTCGGGGGCGGGGCCTGCGCGCCCAGTCCCGGGGGCCGGGGGCCGGCTCTTTGGCGGCGGAGGCGAGCGATCCCGGCCTCGGAGCGCCGAGCCGAGCTCCTCGTCGGCCCCGGCCGGCCCGGAGCGGGGAGGCGCGTGCGCGGGAGGGCGTGGCGGCGGGGGGCACCCGGGGGGCGCGCGGCTCGGGCGGCCCGTCCCCCTGCCGCGCGGGCGGGGTGGTGCGTTCCGAGTTCCCAGGAGTTCGAGGCGGGCGGGTGCCGGGCGGGGGGGGGCGGGGAGTGGCGGCAGCGGCGGCGGCGGCGGCGGGCGGGCGGGCGGCTCCCGCCTCAGCCTCGGCAGTGGCGTCGGCGACGGCGGAGTCGAGGCAGCCGCGAGCGCTCGGCTGAGTGTCCGCCGGCGGCGACGGCCCCGGAGCCGGGAGTTGGGACCGCGCGCGCCGGACCTTCCGCCGCCGCCGCCGCCGCCGCCGCCGCCGCCGCCGCCGCCGCGCAGAGCAGAGCCGGAGGCGCCGGGGCCGGGGCGGGGGGCAGCCCGGGCGCCGGCGAGGGAGCGGGCCGGGGGGGAGGGTAGGGCATGGCGCGGACCCCGGCGCCGGCTCCCCTGGGTCCCGGCGGCGGCCGAGCACAACTTTGCTCCGCTTCTCTGCCCGGGGCCGGGCTGGTGCTGCCGCCCCCGACGCCCCCGCCGCTGCTGCTGCTGCTCTTCCCGCTGCTGCTCTTCTCCCGGCTGTGCGGTAGGTGAAGCGGCGGGCGCGGGCGGAGGGGGCGCGCCCGGGGGTCCCGCGGGCCGCGGCCCGGGGCTGCGAGGCGGTTGTGCCGGGCGGTTGGCGGCGCGAGCGGCGGCCGCGGACTTTGGCTGCAAACTTTTTCGCCGCGCCCGGGGCGAGGCCGGGGAAGGGCCGGGGCCGGCGTGCGGCGTCGCCGGGGCGGATGGTGGAGCCGAGCTCGGGGCGGGGGTGGGGTGGGGTGGGGATGGAGGTTTTTTTTTTGTGTGTGTGTGTGTGTGTTTTGTGGGGCTGATGAGGATTCTTTTCTTTTCTTTCTTCCTTGCTGCTTTTTGTCCCCACGCCTCGTGCTTTCGGCGCGCTGGTGCTCCTCGTGGCTCGCTCCGGGGACCGTTAACTCCCCAGCTCGCGGGCTCGGGGGCCGCGGTGCGGGGATGCGCCTCGGCCGCCCCCTGGTTTTTTTTTCCGCGGTGAAACTTGACCTGGGATTTCGGCTCCCCCTCGGGGACCCGGGCCCGGAGGAAGGAATGAAGCCGGTGGGGCTCAGCCCAGCTCGCACACACCGCGCACGCCCGCCCGCCCCAACCAAGCACCGCGCGGCACCGCACCCTGGAGCCTCCCCACCCCACCACCCACCCCTCCTTGCAAGCCGGAGAGGGTCGCTGCTCTGACCCCTTCCCCCAGCCGGGCCCGGGATCGCTTTGCTGGGTCCACCTTGCAGCCTTCCCGGTGTGGGACGGACGTCCCTCCCGGTCGCGGTCGGTTCCAGCGAAGCCGAGAACTCCGCGACTTTGATTTGGGTGTTGCAGTGCCCGATTGCCTCGGCCGCGCGCCTCTGCTCGGCACCCTCCGGCCGCGGCTGCCCGTTCTCTTTTCTTCCCTCTGGGTAGCGTCTTGGCACCTCGGGCAGCTCATCCCCCTTAAGTTCTGGTGTTAGGGGTCGGGGGCGAGAAGCCTTTTCCGTTGAGGATCCGGGCCCAAACCAAACCAAACCAAACCAAACCAAAAACACGCAACAACTAAAGCCCCCTGCTTTCCTGTAAGAGTTGGGCGTTAGTGATTAGTAATGCAGCCGGGCGATGTTTGGGAGAAGGAGGAGGCGGCCAGCAGTCTGCGGAACCGCCCCTTCAATTGAGAAGACTGAGCTCTGCAGGACCTTGGGCATCTTCGAGGGTCCTTGGTGTAGAGGGTGCTGGAGTCAGAATTTAAACTTGCTCAAAGATTGGTTTACCGAAGATTCCTCTCCCTCCCTCCCTTCCCTTCCCCCCCTTGCTGGTACTTAAGATTGTTGCTGGATTTCAGTTGTTTTCTTCTTGACATCCTAAAATCAGAAGTCTTAACTTAGTATTTATTAAAAGGAGAGGTATGTGTGGATTTCTTGGGTAGTGTGATTTAGGAAAAAAAAAATAAATAAAGAGAATTCTGTGTCAGGTTCTGAGGGGAGGGAGGTTTTCAGGAGATTCAGTGCCCATAATATAGGCTGGCACTTCCCCCTACTAGTCAACTATGTTTCAAGCCCGGCAGTGAAAGTTTCTGATTTACAGTGTAATAAATGACACGTTATCTATTATGTGTTGTTTCTGTAGATTGCTTTCCGAATATTGGTTTCGAGGTGCAATTCTAAATGCTTATTGATGCAAGATTCTGTATTGAATTTGTGAATTGTTCTTTTCCATTCGGGGATGTGGATTAGTTAGGTGGGGAGGGAGTTGGAGGGAAGTGTTAACAATTAACCATCCTGATTGAGATTGTGATTAAAGACTGAAAAGAGTATTATTTGTGGCTGCAATGAAAGCTGAGCTAGGCAGAGCCTTGTGGAAGACTGAAGCTAGGTCATTGTACAATTAATACAAGGAAATAGAATTCCAGCAATACTTTGAGTGTTTGTGCAAGAGAAGTGTTGATTACTTTCTGAAGTAACTCTGATTTTTAAAATCGAAAAAGAAAAAAAAACAAAAGTTTAGCCATAGTGTACTTTTGGAAGGACTTTAGAGTTCCCAGAATCCAAACAGTGCAGGCAGTGGGACTGTGAGTTAGTGTAAGTGTAAATTGAAGTTTTTAAACTAAACTCTGCTTATGATTGTAGAAACAGACTCTAGCTTTGTGTTACTGTGCACTGCTCATTTAAAGAACTTCCTTTTTTTGGCTTAGAGTGTTATAACACCTTAATTTGTGAATCCTTATGACAAGTTTTTTTTTTCCTTTTCCTTCAACCTTTCTCTTTTTAGAATTCAGTCTTTGAGTAGGGCACAGCTGTCTCATGGATGCTTAGTAAGAAATTAGATTTTCTTCATCTAACCTGTTAATCGATCTCACACTCAGTACTAATTACCGGGTTAGGAATGTGTTACTGTTGAGTAGTCAGTTTGTAAAGCTTAGATGTTAAAGAGATGACTAATGACTCATTAATCATAATGATTTACTTATATCACATAAAGGTTTTCTATGTGCTATTTTTTATTTGCTGCTTACATTTAGCTTTTGCCTAATTGCGCTTAGCTTATGTGGTATTAACACACGATCATTTTTAAATCACATTTACTGGACTGCTAAAAAAACCTCTCAATTAGTACACTTGATATTCTGATGTATATAAAAAAACTTACTATTGGTGTACTGTGTGAGGTCACTGTCTTATTTGAAGCATTGAACTTTTAAAATGAAAATTTTATAAGTTGACACACTACTAGTGTTTTTTTTTTAGTTTGTTTCAAGAAACTGGACTTACAGTATAATCTAGGATGAATCTTGTTTCATTTAGTTTGTAATTCTGTATTTCATTCTCATGAGAATTCATAGAAGATAAGATTGACCTCACTTTGAAGTTTGTGTATTTGGTGGGGGGAGGTATTGGATGGGGGGGGGCTGGGCCACTGATGGTGCCTACCAACTTCCATGAGAGAATATTAGCAGATGTATTGATGAAAGAAAAGATAGACTATTTGACCCTTGTTAAGGTTCTGTTTGCGTATAGGATATGATGATTCTATTTTCAAGGTGGAAATTGAAGCTGATGGAAAAGATGATCTATGATAATTGAACGAACCTCTAACAGCAGTTCCAGTACTTTATATGTTCCTGGTATACGATACACACTTGGAGATATAAAACTTGAATAGAGCTAGTCCTGATTTCAAAGCGCCTGCTGCAGAGTGTAAAAGATAATAGTTGGTTATTGGACAGATTAATGTTCACCATAGAAATCTCTATGAGGTATACTGTGCAGGTGAGATACCTCACCCATGAGATAACCATACTGAATGTGAACTGAGGATGAAAAAGTACTTTCTAAAGTATCTCCGAGCAAGATTATCTTATTGAGGGTAATAAGGTTGTAGGTGATACAACTTTGTATTCTCTTTCTCTTCACAGTGGTTTAATTGTAAATTGGTAGGTTGAGTCTGTAAAATACTGCCACTGTAAGTTGTTGGGCAAATCAACATTAGTAACCTTAAGGTTTCCTTGTTTTAAAGAAGAGCTGAACTACTGCCTTATGGAATTCATGTGAGGATTAAGTAAAAGAAGAAAAGAAAACACTTTTAGTGCAGAAATACAGTAAATACCCAACTGTTAGCATTTACTATATTGTACATTGTAAGTCAGCCAACCTTGTGTTATTATGTTCAACCGCGATGTCTTAAATAATTGAGTTTTAGAGTTAATTGACTTGTATCTGCTCTTTATATCTTTACTGACTGTAGAGGATCCTTAGTACTTAAGTCATTGTTAAAATTTATTTCAAATAAATATAGTGGGGAATTTTCAGAATATTGGAGAATAATGAAATTAACTCAACTGTGTAATTGTTTGGAACCTGGTTGACTCACTTTAATGGTGGCGAAATCGTTTTTTGGTCTGCAGTTTCATAAGGTGACTTAGAGTGTCAGTGACTATTGAAAATGTGGAGTTTGGAAAAGGGAGTCAGTTTCACTTATTTTATCAAGTTACTGAAAATGTCAGTTTCGAACTTAACAATACATAAAGCCCATATATATGTTTCTACAACTTAAATACAGTTGAATAGTTAATCAGATTTTTACATTTTTAACAAGCAAAAAAGACCAAACCTTTTTTTCTTGAATTTAGCTACAATATCAGAAGTAAGCGTTTAAAAAAGCTAGGCAGTTATTTGTGTGTTTGTGCATATACTGCCTTATGTCTCTGTGTGTGCGTGAGAGAGAGAGAGGGAAGGAGGGGGGAGAGAGAGAGATATTCAGCAGCTACGATTTACATTTTGAGTCTAAATAGTTAAGGAGTAAATGCTTTGGATATTGGCTTTTATTTAAAAATGGAAGAGGAGCTGGCTGAAATACCCTTTTTAAGAAACAGAGAATTTGGCATTCTATAATTTACTCCTTAAAATTACAAACAATATAGTGCTATAGCATATTCTGTAATTAGTTTGCATAAACGAGATAGGAGTACATATGGTTTATAAGAGATGTGGCATTAATTTATATGCTACGTATAATTTTATACTGTAGTTAAGTAACCCTTAAATTACTACTGGAATGATTACTAGGGATGATTTTACATCATGTCATATTTTTGATTACTTATTTTTAATCTAAACTTTCTAAAATCTTGAATTAACATCCTTTCCTGGATTTAATTAAAAATTTAAAAAAATATAGTAGGTTCTCACATAGTCTATTCATTTATTAAAATAAAGTTTATTCCAAAATTTATCAGGTATGTGCTTAAACTATTTTCCTAAATGATTAAGTTCAGTGGAATTTTAATAATTTCAAATTTAATGGGAACTCATTCTGGTGATCTACATGTAGCCATAATTCTAGATATAGCCATAATTCAGGCCCTATGGTTGTGCAGAAGATATTATTTTGGTTACTTAGATTGTGAATTTCACAGATTTTCTTTAAGATAGCACCCTTGAATTTTAAAAATTTATTTATTTGTATTTTGACTAACATACTTTTTGCTAATTAAGATGACTAGGGAAGAATTACCTGTTTCTTTATGAGTTTACATTCAGAGGCTGGAATTTA